GGTATGGTTAAAATATCTGTAAAATTTGTTAACAAAAATTTAACTTAAAACTTGTAACAAAAGGCATACAGTTAAAAAAAAACTATACATAGGTACTCTTATATTGCTACAACAAATCATATATGTGATTCAACTCTTGTTTATAATATACTGTTTATCTTAGGGTTTCTATTTCTGTGAAGAGACATCATGACCATGACAACTTTTTTTTTTTTTTTTTTGAGACAGGGTTTCTCTGTATTAGCCTTGGCTGTCCTGGAATTTATTCCATAGACCACGATGGCCTCGAGTTCACAGAGATTTGCCTGCTTCTGCCTCCTGAGTACTGAGATTAAAGGTGTGTGCCACCACAGACCAGCAGCCACAGCAATTTTTGTAAGAGAAAGCATTTAATTGTGGTTCAGAGGTTTAGTTCATTACCATCATGGTGGGCAGCAAGGCAGCATGAAGGCAGACATGGTGCTGGAAAAGGAGCTAAGAGTTCTTACATTTTGCCTCACAGGCAACAGGAAGTAGACTGAGACACTGGGCATGGCTTGAGCATATATGAGACCTCAAAGCCCACCCCCACAGTAAAACACTTCCTCCAACAAATCATACCCACTCCAACAAAGCCACACCTCTGAATCGTGCCACTCTTTATGAGCTTATGGGGGCCCATTACATTCAAACTACCACATTCCACTCCCTGACCCCCAAAAGCTTGTAACAATGCCTTAATGCAAAATGCATTTATTTCCATTTTAAAAGTCCCCATAGTCTATCACAGTCTCAATAATGTTTAAAAGTCCAAAGTTCAAAGTCTCTTCTGAGATTCATGCAATCTCTTAACGGTAATTTCCTAAAATCAACATAAAAAAACCAGATCACATACTCCCAACATACAATGGCACAGGATATATGTTACCATTCCAAAATGTAAGAAAGGGAGTATAGTGAGGCAATACTGGACCAAAGCAAGACTGAAAACCAGCTGGGCAAGTCCTAACTCTGCATCTCCGTGCCTGATGTCAAAATGCTCTTCAGATCTCCAACTCTGTTCAGCTTTGTTGACTGCAACACACTTTTTTCTCTTGGGCTGGTTCTCCTCCCTGTTAGCAGCTCTCCTAGGCAGGTATCCCACAGCTCTGGCATTGCCAACATCTTAGGGTCTCTAAGGCAATCCAGGCTTCAACTTCACAGCTTCACACAATGGTTTCTCTAGGCCTCCATTCAGGGACAACCCTGCCACATGCTTGGCCTTGGTGGCTTTCCTTAGGTGCAGAGGGAGAGAGATTCCATAATGTATTTTTTCTATCCTTGATTCTAGAGCTAGAACCACGTGGGTGAAGCTGCCAAGTTCTGCTGCTTGCTGGGGCTGGAACATGCCCCCTGTTCAATGATATCTTCACCAGCTTTCTATTTTCCAGGATTTCCTTCATTGCCTGAGCTTAGCTGCTTTGGAATTTGCTCTGTAGACCAGGCTGGCCTCAGAGATCTGCCATCCTCTACCTTTCTGGGGCTGGGATTAAAGGCATGCACCACCACACCTGGCTCTAAGCTTTTTTTAAATTCCTTTTCACAAGTTGGAAATTTAGCTGAGTGGGATCTTGCCCTGAGGTCACCATTCCCTTTATTCCATTTCTTAATCTGTTTATCTCCTTGAACACCGAATTTAACTTCATTCCATGTCCTGGTGCTCTTCTTCTCCTCAAATTGTTCTATATCTCATATTTTTTTTATTGTTCAGCTTGCTCCTTTCATTATAAACCTTCACTAGAGTTACCACCAAAAAACACAGGACAGTCTATATACCAGGCTATTTAGAGATTTCCTCTGCCAACAGAATTAATTCAAAACTCTTCACTATAGCCTCAGGCAGACTCTTCGGACAAGGGTAAAAAGCAGCCACATTCTTCACCAAAATATCACAAGAATGATCTCTAGGCCACATATTAATATTCTTCTCCTCTGAAACCTTGAGCCATTCCCCACAGTTCAAATCACGCTCAGTACTGCTGTCTTCCATGTTCCTACTAGGATGGCCCATTAAGCAGCACTTAAAATATTCAACTGCTTTTCTATTCAATAGTCTCAAAGAAAAGGAAAACATGATCTGGCTCATTACAGCAATACTTCAGTCCCTGGTACCAACTTCTGTCTTAGGGTTTCTATTGCTGTAAAGAGACACCAAGACCATAGCAATTTTTATGAGGAAAAACATTTAATTGGGGTGGCTCACTTACAGTTTATAAGTTCAGTCCATTATTGTCATGGTGGGCAACAAGGCAGCATGAAGGCAGACGTGGTGCTGGAGAAGGAGCTGAGAGTTCTTATATTTTGACTCACTGGCAACAGGAAGTAGACTGAGACACTGGGCATGGCTTGAGCATATATGAGACCTGAAAGCCCACGCCCACAGTGAAACATATCCTCCAACTATACCCACTCCAACAAAGCCACACCTACGAATAGTTCCACTCCCTATGAGCTTATGGGGGCCCATTACATTCAAACTACCACACTACATATGTAACTTGGATTTAACTCTTGTTTAAAAAGTTGAAATACAGCCGGGAAGTTATTAATATTCTGACCTACCCCTTGGGGCTGCCCTGCATCCTAATGTAAAAGCCTGATTTAAGGAAAAACCCCTCCCTTCTTCTCTCTCTTCCTCTTCATTCCCACGAGGTATGCATGCTCGACCCCCTCTCCCTCTCTTCTTTCTGTCTTTCCCTTTTTCCCTATCTTTCTCTTCACCTCTCTACTATAATAAACTCATTTCCGCAAGGATGCAGCACCTGAATGACATGAGGCTGCCCTCCACTACATCTGCCCAGCAGGTTTCCCTCACTTGTGGGACTCCCTGCTCTGGCCAGCTGGGGGTCCCCCACGCACAGTACCTTAACAGCAGTGGTGGCGCACGCCTTTAATCTCTGCACTCTGAGGCAGAGGCAGGTGGATCTCTGTGAGTTTGATGCCAGCCTGGTCTATGAAGTGAGTTCCAGGACAGCCAGGACTGTTTCACAGAGTCTCTGGGTGGGGAATGGTGGGGGGGTATGGGGGGGGAATGACAAAAAAAAAAAACCTGTGATATTCTATAATGGTGCACTATGAAAGGATCAGAAAAATGAGGTTCCCAGTTTCTCTGGACTGTATACTTTGGAGCAGTCGTGTCTTTATTTTCATTTAATTTTTCACAATTACAATTGTGTGTATGTGAATGTGTGTGGAGATCAGAGTACAATTCATTTCTCTTCTTCCACAATGTGAGTCCTGGTTATCAAATTCAGGTCATCAGACTTGGTGACCTGCAGAGTCTTTCTGATGGCCCCCAAGACATTTTTATAAATGGATCCTTCAAATACATGAGATTTGTTTCCTGCTTTCCCATACACCCTTTACGCATCTCAAGAATCCTCTTGCTAACTCTACCTTCAGAAATTGTGTGTATCTATGGGGTCCAGTTCAAGGCTCACCTCTTTGTCAGTTTCATACAGAAAGTTCCATCTCCTCTACCCCTTCAATATTGACATAACACCTTTCTGCAGTAGTTGTTGTTGGTTTTTTATTTTTTTTTTATTTTTTTATTTTTTTTTTTGCTCTTTTAAGTTCAAGGCCATCTTGGGTAACATAAGCCAGAAGCTTATTTAAAATTAATTTTTAAAAATATTTTTAAAATTATGTGTACTTATATAATATCTGTATTTTTTAAATTTATGTGCACTTATGTAGTATCTCTATATTTTTTTAAATTATGTGTACTTATGTAGTATATGTATGTATGTATGTATCTATGTGTACCTCAGAGTGCAGGTGTCCTTGGAGTCCAGAAGAGTCATGAAATTCCCTGGAGCTGGAGTTATAGACAGGTGTGAGCACCTGTTGTAGATGTTGGGAACTGAACTTGAGTCCTATGCAAGAGCAAGCAAGTGCTTTTAATCGCTGAGCTATCTCTCCATACGCTTAAGGGGATCCTCCTGCCTCAGCCTCCTGAGTACAGGAGAACTGGGACTAAAACATGTGCTACCATACCTGGCTTCAAATTTTTGTTTTGAACATCTTTCCGAGGCAAATAAGGAAAGTGAATTCTGTGTTATAAAATTAGGGAATGAGAATTGGCGGTTACTAAATTGACTCCAACATTAAACCCTGACTGCCTTTCCCTTGGGATGACAGGAATAAAGCTGTTTTTATGTTAGTTACATAGATGATAAAATATGCTGATTCTTTCACCAGTCTTCAAAGCACTGGGTCACGAAACACAACCAGAGGCGATCAGGATGTTCAAAGCCACTCAGTCTTACACGGTTTTCAGCATATTGAAAATGAAAAACGAGCAGGTTACAGAAATGGGTATTTTAAATCTGCACATGGCATCACCCTTTCCCCCCCTCAATCCTGTCGCTAGGGTATGTATGATTTTAATGACCCAAATCGGGAAACAACATGGGAACACGGTAAGGTGACTTCATGTTGCATGACTGTGAATCTAGACCGTGTTTTGTTAGGTAGAGAGGTCTCAGACTCCCGGGCTCAGGGCAATGACTCCGCAGGAATGGTGGCGCCTGTGGCCCAGCGGGATCGCGCACTCTGCACAGGCATACCGGCCCGACCGACCTCCATTTCTCATGGAGGCCACGTGTCCCTGCAACGAAGGGCAGCCAGGGCTGGAACAGGGTTCCTAGCTCAACGGGTGGGAAAGGCGCCTTCTCGCAATGGCCGCTAACACGCCGCCCACTGAAGAACCAGGGCGACCCCATTCGAAAAAGCATGCCAAAATCTACTGGCTCTGGGCGAGCGCACCCGCCCGTCCGTCACGGCCCGCCTCCTTTCTTCCTGCCCAATCAATAACCACTTCCTGCCTCGCTCTTGACCAATCATCACGCTCCACGAAGAATAGCCCTAGGGGGCGTATGGGAAGGCGGTTTGAACGATGGCTATTTTGACCAATGAACTCGCAGATGCTGCGCCAGGGGGCGGGACTTGGCGTTCGTCGTAGCCACTCAGGACCGAGGGGCGGACGCGGGGTTGGTCTTCGTGCGGTGGGGCTCGCTCGCGCGGCAGCGGCAGCGGAGGCCTCTTAGTTCTGCGGCACGTGACGGTCGGGCCGCCTCCGCCGCTGTCTCCACTGCAGCGCGGGGCCGGGTGTGCGGGTGGGAGAAGGTGCGGGAGCCGCCAGTGGTCCCCGGGAGGCTCGAGGTGAGACGGGGAGCGTGTGCGGGAGCCTCAAGCCTGCGACGAGCCTTGGGGGCCTGGGAGAGCGGCGCCGCGGCGGAGGGGTCGGGCGTGGCCGAAGTCTCGACGGCCGAGGGGTCGGGCGGGCGTTCGACCGGCGCAGGCCTTGGCGGACGCCCAGGGCAGCGAGGGGAGCGGCCCAGGGTGGGAGGCAGGCCTGAGAAGCGCGCCTAGGTCGGGAGGCGTGGCAGGTGACCCGGGGCTTCCCTTGACCTCCGAGAAAGCTAACAACTTTCTATGGCTTCGCTTCTAGAGTTTTCTTAGGCCCGGTCCTGGCCCACCTGGAGGTGGACTGAGTAATCCGGTCCAGGTGTGGAACTAGAATCGGGCCTAGTCGGTCCCGAGTAGTAGGGAAAGGTGAAGTAGACGGAGAGAGAGGAGCGTTACAGTTCCAGGATTAGAAAATAAGATGCCCAAAGCGAAGACTGGACCGTAGCACTCCGACGAGGGAGAAGAATGTACTAGAACGTGTAGCGCTTGAGAAACTTGAGGCTTAACTATTACAGCCCCTGCTTATTCGGTGGGGCATAGTAATCCAGTGTGGGTATTCACTGGACCATAAAAGCAGGAAGACCAATCGAAAGTTCAGCTAGCCAGCGGAAGAAACTGAGGCCTGGAAGTTTGAAATAACTGGCCCAAGGTCATGCGGGGAGTTTTAATGGTCACGTTGGGATTGTAACTTGAGGACTAGACAGTTTTGGATTCTTAGTTAAGGTAAAAGACCCGATCCAAGCACTTTTTTGGGGGGATGGGAATTGGGGAAATTTTCTACATGAGTGCTCATTCCCCAGCAGTAGATAGAATGCCTCATGGCCTTGTATTAAATTAAGAGGTGTGGAAATGGGAAGGTGTGGAAATTGCAGTGGCTTCTTTTGTAGTCTGAATGCCTTGGTCCATTACACTGACACTAATTTTTGAGTTAAGACACATTCATGGCACCTTATGTATTAACCGCTGCTCCTGGCACCAGAGATTGATTGTGAAGTTAAACTGAGCTGAATATTAAAAGCTTGAGGACAAAGGTGAGCTCCAGTTTCTTTACCCTGAGGAAAGGAAGATAATGCTTTTTTTTAAAAAAACATAATTTGCCCTTTTTTGTTTACTTTTTTTAAATGGGGGCAATTGGGTGATCTTAAAAATCTTTATATTTTCCTGTAATGTTTGGAAGGGCATAAACAGAATCAATTCCCGTGTTGTATTTGTGCTTTAATTAAACTTATGGACCAGGCAGAGTGTACAGGTGAGCCAGGCCCCAAGGAACTGTGTATTGTCGTGAACCGTCCACAATAGAAGTTTACTGATCTGCCTGAAAATGGGTGTCAGCATCCTTTCTCCACCTTGTTATCTTAACTCAACAGTGCAATTAGCTCCTTATCTTTGAAGGGACACAAGGCACGTGCATATTGACAGACAGTCACACTGTTGCATCCTTGTCCTGCAGAGGTCTCTTGCCCTGCAAAAGAGCTTTAAGGGAGTAGAGAAGCAGTTGGTAAGCGCAGCTGTAGAATTCTGTGTCCAGCATGGTAACTTTGGTTCCTGCATCTTTAAAATGGGAATGAGTCTCCTCCTTGCCTCACTTTTGAGGGGGCAGACAATATCAAACTGCTTTGGAGAGTGTAAGGAACTGGGCAGATAGAATTGGCAGCTCATAGACAGTCCTAAGAAGTGAAGTGCCAAAGATCATTGTAGTCTGTATAGCTTACTGAAAAACTCATTAGGAAAGTGCTTGCTTGTTAAATGCTTTGTTGTGGCTACAAGTGCTAAGTGAGAAACCTTTTTAGGTTTATTTATTTTTATTTTATATGTATGTGTTTTGCCTGCATGTATGTCTGTGTATCATGTATGTGCCTGGTACCTGAGGACAGAAGAGGGCACTGGATCCCTTGGAACTGGAGTTACAGATGGTTTTGAGTTGTCTTGTTGGTTCTGGGGATCAAACCTGGTCCTCTGGAAAAGCAACCAGTGCTCTTAACCACTGAGCCATGTCTCCAGCCCAGAGGCAGCTTCTTTTTTTTTTTTTTTTTTTTTAAGGGACTCTAGAGAATTTTTATATTGGGGTATTCAAGTCTTCAAAAAAAAAAAAAAGTCTCTTTCAGAGTTATTGTTGGCCAGGCGTGGTGGCACACACCTTTAATCCCAGCACTCGGGAGGCAGAGGCAGGCGAATCTCTGAGTTTGAGGCCAGCCTGGTTACAAAGCGAGTTCCAGGAAAGGCACAAAGCTGCACAGAGAAACCCTGTCTCAAAAAAAACAAAACAAAAAAACAAACAAAAAGAGTTACTGTTGAACAAATATCTTATGTTTATGTCAGTATGAGCCTATCATAGGTGTCCATGAGGCCAGAAGGGGACATCATATTCTCTGGAGCTGGAATTATAGACAGTTATGAGCTGCTCAACAGGAAACTGAACTCAAACCACTGAGCCATCTCTCCATCCTGGGTATTCACATCTTAAAGTGAATTAATAGGGGGATAAGTTACTAAACAATCACTTGTATGTCCTTTGCACACATAGCCTGCACATACATTCACATCAGTAGTATGCCAGAATGAGTGCATAGCTTACATGGAAATCCCATTTAAAAATTTTGTGTGCCATTTCAAAAATTAATATTTATTTTAGAATAAGAACATTAGATCATTTTACTATTCCTGTAATTTTCATAAATGAAAGAAATTAGATTTGAACTTTCTTTTGATTTTTTTGAAACAGTGTCATACTGACTGGCCTGGAATATAGACCAAAGTGGCCTTGAACTCGAGATCATTCTGCTTCTGCCTCTGAGCCCTGGAGTTACAGGTCTGTAACACCATTCCCTGCTTGAATTTGTTTTTAAATTCTGATAAGTAAAGTCTTTGGGGGCTGGAGAGATGATGGCACAGTGGTTAGCAGCACTGACTGCCCTTACAGAGGACCTGACTTAAGTTCCTAACACCTCCTTGATGGCTAACAACCATGTGTAATTCCAGTTCCTTCTAGCCTTTTTGGCACCAGGCACATACATGATATATAGATGTACATACAGGCAAACATTCAAACATAGGAAATAAAAAATAGTTTTTTAAAAGTACGGGCATTGGTCAGTAGTTGTAGTTTAAAGGTTATAGAATAGAGGGAGGAGGACTGGATGTAGATGAGCTGACCAAGACCGCACAGAAGCTTGAGAAACAGTTTTCCCTGACAGGACAAATTACCCTTCCCAGCACTGAACTGTCTTCAATAAGGAATTGAAGTTTCAGAATTGGGAGTCTGAAGGTGAGGGCAGGGAATGCAGAGCCTCAGCACTGCAAACAAAATCGGAAGTTTCCTCCTCTAGGATTTAAGATAGTTCGCCATTCTAAAAGTTAAGTGGGTTACGGTGAAATGTGAGTGCATTAGGTAGGTGGTCTTGAAGATCCCTTTGGCCCTGAAACTAGGCCCTGTTTCTTTGTCTTTGCTAAGTGGGGAAGCATGCCAGAGTCTTAGTGTTGTAAATAATGGATTTTCTTGGCCTTGTGTTTATATGTCCATGCTTTTTGTTTTATTGCAGGTCATTGGATTACTGGGGAGGAAATCTAGGGCTTTCACATGCTAGACAAAGGCTCCACCATTGATAACAAACATACTCTAAACTTTTTGTGGGTCTTTGCAAGGATGTATACACATTCATACAGGTGGCCATGCATGTATGTTCACTGAGGCCAGAAGGCCACCTTGCTTTTTTTTTTTGGTTTTCTGAGACAGGGTTTCTCTGTGTAGCTTTGCGCCTTTCCTGGATCTCACACTGTAGGCCAGGCTGGCCTTGAACTCACAAAGATCTGCCTGCCTCTGCCTCCCAGTGCTGGGATTAAAGGTGTGCGCCACCACCGACCCGGCCTCCACCTTGTTTTTTAAGATAGGGTCTGTCATTGGCCTAAGGTTTGCTGTTAAACTAAGGCCAAGTGGTTATTGATTCCTAGGAACCTGTCTCTTTCCCAGCCCTTCAAAACCTTCTAAATTCAGCAAGACTAAACTTCGTTAAGCTCACATTTCTTCTTTTTAAGTTTAATATATTGGGGCTGGAGAGATGATTCAGTACTCTTGTAGAGAACCTGGGTTCTGTACCCAGCACCCATACAGTAGCTTATAGCCATCATTTTCAGGGACTCAGACATCACTTTCTGACTTGCACGGGCTCTGAGCATGCACATTGTGCACATACATGCATGCAGATACACATAAAAAATAAAATATGTTTTACTGTTGTGCGTAGGTATGCATGGTGTGCTTGGTGTGGGTGCACACGCCACATATGCATGTGTTTAGGTCAAGAACATAGTTTGGAGCTGTGCGGTGGTGGTACACACCTTTAATCCCAGAACTGGGGAGGCAGAGGCAAGTGGATCTCAGTGAGTTCAAGGCCAGCCTCTACAAGGTGAGATCCAGGACAGCCAGGACTGTTACTCTGCTTCGGGGGAAAAAAAGAATATAGTTTGCAGGAGTTTAATTCTGTCCATTGTGTGGGTTCCAGGGAATGAACTTAGATTGTCAGTCTTGGCAGTGAGTGCCTTTATCCACTGAGTTATCTTGCCAGCTTATCTTTTTCTTTTAGCCAGTCTTGCTGTGAATCCCTGGATAGCCTGGAACTTGCTGGCTTTGAGCTTGTGATGGTCTTAAAGCCACTGCCTCTCAAGTACAAAGCCATCTTCAATGATTTTGTAATATATTAAAAAAGAATCTAAAGTCTTGAGGTAATTTTAGACTTAAAAGAACTGGCAGAAATAAACCAGATATGATGGTGCATACATTTAATCCTAGCCTCTGGAGGTGGAGGCAGGGAGATCATTAAGTTTGAGGCTGGCTTAGATTACATAGTGAAGATTCTATCTCAGAAAAACCAAGGACTAGTCATGAAGCTCAGCAGTAGAATGCTGAATGCCAGGCTAACATGCAGAAGCCCTAGCACTTCAAAAGTGGCAAAAATATACAGAGCAATCTCTTATAC